ACGGCGCTCCGTATCTCGTGCTCACTCACGTGGTTCCACTCCACCAGCAGAGAGAAATCTAAGAGAGACCATACCGGCCTTTTTCCTGTTATCGTTGAAATCGTCCGTACACTATCGCCAGTACATTTTCAGTTTAGGAACTACGTGACTATATACATTTTCTGACACTACCGATAAAATCGTATCATTGAAAATAGATGTGGTTAGTCTCTGTAATATATTTTCAGGACAGAAACGTGCCGACTGATAATAGATATATATATACCGGGATTTTAAACATTTATACAAAAAAATTTATTATATAAAATTTAACAAATCTCTAAAGTAATTATATATATATTCTTTAAAATAATTATATATATTTTTTAAAGATCTTAGCAAAAATAAATTTGTATAAAATATTAAAGTAATTTTTAAATAACTCTCCTTTTATCTAAATTAGATAATACAATAAGGAATAATATTTAAAAAGTTATTGCAATTTTATTAGTGAAATACAATAAAACAATTAGACATAAAAATAAAAAAATTAATTTAATTAAATTAAATTAAATATAAATTAAAGATACACTTATCTGCAAAAACTAAATTTATTAGTAACTCATTTGTTGTATGAGTGACTATACTTACAAAAAAAAAAGAGGAATAAAATTGACGGAGGTGGTGGAGAGCCTCTATCTCATTTTTGCTAAATTATACCATAAATGGACAATATATGCTTAGAAGAGATTGAATTTATTAAAAGTTTCTAGTCTATTGCTAGTAATTATAAATACTTTGACACATACTAGTAATTATAGTCGGCACGCTTCTGTCCTGAGGATTTAGTACAGAGACGAATCACATCTACTTTCGACGATATGATTTTATCAATAGTGTCAGAAAATGTATGTAATCACAAAACGTAGTTCTCAAAATGAAAATGGATATACGGGCGATTTCGATTGTAACAGGAAAAAGGCCAGCATGGTCTCTCTCAGGTTTCTCTCTGGTATGAGTATGTTTTCGGTTTCTCACACGGATATAAAAATTAATAATAATAATAATACTTAATAACTAATAATAATAATAATAATAATAATTGTAATTATTGTTATTATTACTTTGTGGATTTTTAATTAAAAATAATAATATATTATTTTATAATTTTAATTCTTGCATTGTTTCTTCTCAATTAAAAATAGCAAATAACCCTTCAAGAAGGGTTGAATTTCGTACGAGTGAATCCCAACTGTCTCAACTGCTCTTTTCAAAAGCTTTCCATATCTTTTTTTGCCCAATTTAAAAATTAGAATATAGATTGAACAATATAATTGAAAGGTTTTAATGAAAATTGATAAAGATACATAGTTGATAGAATGATTTTTATATGACACATACATATATATTTCTTATATGTAGAAAATTATTTTTTAAATAAAATATTTCTATGTAATATAGATATATTTATTAATCTATCGAAAAACGGTTTTAATATACAATGCGTATCTTTTATACATAAAATCAAAGTTGTTAAGTCTACAACTTAAGACGCAGTCATAGTTGCAAAACATTACTTTTTATACTATATGCGTTCCTTGAGTGTTTTGTCTATTATTCAATCGAATCTTCTCTTGGCGTTTCTTTTCCTCTTTAAACGCTTCGGTGTTTGCCTTTCGTTCTATCCTTCTTTCCTAAAATTAGATAAATTTCAGAAATTATGTTATATAAAATTTAATTAACCCGTCCACAACAAATGTTTAATAAAATTACTTTTCTGTATTCTTTGAGCAGCTTTTTTCTTTCTTTTCTTCCGTCAGGAGTTTCCCCTTTAGGCCTTATACTTAGAATGCTTAAGGTGGATTTCCTACTTTCCGCTACGGATTGTGGGCCTTTTGGCGAATTATTTTCCATATCAAATTGGGCCAAAGTTTCAGCTGTTAATTTTCCAGTATTGCCTAACACATTTTTCGGAATACCAGATTTCCGATCTATTTCAATTTTCTTTGATCGCTAATTATTAAAAAGAAACAAAAAAAAAACATAAAATCAATAAGTGTAGTATCAACTCAAGAAAAATGTTTCATATATAATTATGTGATATATTTTATATATACTTATATATAATTTATATATAATTATATAACATTTTTTCGCGAGAAGAAATATATAATTAAATTATACATATATTTATATTTATTACTAGAATGAATAAAATTTTCAATAACATTGATTAATAATTTACCTTAGGAGGTTCTGATATTAATTTAGGGTGATTATAAATGTTACTGTATGTGCTAAGAATACTTTCACAGTCCCATTTATCTTTTCCACGAGTAGTGACAAGAAGTTTGTCAAAATCTTCATCTTCTGAACTCGAATATTCTGGTTCCATAATCTTCATTCTGTCTTTCATAAGTTCCGCGATATTTTCCGTCTACAAATGTTAGAGAAAATAATACATTTTTCATTATACTTTTACGTAATACTTACGTCTTCTCGTTGCTTTTTTTCAAATTCTGTAGCATATTGCATAACACGATTCGAATCATGTGTGATATATCCTTCTATTTCATCGCAGTCTAAAGCACCAATTTCATTTTCATCATATCCAGCATACATCTGTACAATAAACAAGAAAAGATAAAAACATACAGTATTAGGTTTGAAAAAATAAATCTATAATATAAACCTTTTCAAATCTGTCATCCAGCAATGTAAGTTGTTCGTTCCTTCTCATCACGCTACTACTCATAGAATATTCTGTAAATCTTGATTTCGTTTCTTCATCCTTAAAAGTATATTGAGGTCCATTCAAACTACATACTTCATCTGCCTCCTCGTTGGATAAATCCATATGACCATCAGATGAGACATCTGATTCATTATATTCATTTTCTAGTTCGTTTAATTCATATTCTAAAGTATAAAATTACAATAAGGTTAAGTGAATGTGTATGATATTATTACATAGTTTAATAAATTTACCATATTCTCTGTCAGAATCCTCGCTGTCACTATTTTCAGCATTAGCTAATTCTATGAAATTATCTTCTAGCTCATTTTCTGGATCATCAAAATCAAAATCGTCATCCATTGCAGCGACTACATCCGGGTCTAAATCTAATCGTGGCCCAGAAACTGGTGCTGCTTTATTAAGCATACCAACTTTTTCCTCGACATTTGAAGCAAATACCGAAGATGGTAAGTTAATTTTTGGAGCACTCTTGTCGCATTTGGAATCATTCGTGTTCTCAACACGGTCCCATTCCACTGATAATGCATTGACATCTTTAAGATGTTGCAAATAATCATAATCATCATCAAAGTAAATCCCATATTTATGCTGCTCCTTTTTGCGTGTTTCATTGTCTAATGATTTCTTCTCTGTTTTTGCCGCTTGTGTATCGGCAGCTGGAACTAGGACTCTTTGTGGTGCTGTTTCATCTGCCACTAATGGATCTTTTTGTGAACGATGAACTAAGTGGAACGTAACAGAATTCTTCTTGTCAATAAACTTTTTCGTTTTTCCCTTTGGCTGCAATTACATTGTTATTTTAGAGATGTGAAATAATTATTAAGCTATTAATATTGTAGAATAAAATAAGTGAGTGACGCATAAATATGAATGTGATTAACTATTGCTGGAGTTTGATTCGCACTCACAATGTTTTGGAAATCATTTCATCCTGTTATCAAATGTTCAATAAAGATAAATAATGCTCACAAGCAGTTGTGAGTGTGAATCAACCATAGCCTGGTAGTCATCAAATAGAACAGCATGCTTTGATAAAAGATTGAGGTTAAGTTTAGAGATTATGAATTATAACATTAAAATATCTCGTATACCAGAGATTAAGGAAAAAGAATTCCTGGTTAATAGTTCAAAAATATTGTGTGCTATATAACTTTCAGGCAGAATTAAAGGGCCGATGGAGATTAAAAAAAAAAATATATATATATATATGTAGCAATGATATTTTTGTAAATACGTATTAAAACTTACCATCTTGATTTGTCTTGCTCAACTAATCGTACAACAAAAGTAATCGTCCTAATGTATTTATCCGAATTAAGCACTGACACGTTAATTTATTTAAACATACAAAACGTAAGGAAAACATGTGCTATGTTTTCGGAGTCAAACATGATAGATGAAATCCCCCAGACTGGTAACAATGCTCTCAAAAAAAATTTCTAGAAATTAGATATGTTCACTTATGTTTTCTTATTTCAGAAATAAAGGAATTCATGACGTCAAATGTAAATGATCTAATTAATAAAAAAAATTGTCTTTTGTTCAATTAAGAATCACATCAGTGACTCTCAAATGTAAATTTTAACATAAATTCCCAATGGTGCAAGCAAAACATTGGAAGGGATTGTTCTAGCCCTACTCTAGTAACCGCAAATAACGTAAATGGCAGAAAGGGGTGGGGGTGATTATTGATGTCCAATAAATGTGAGGAAACATACAACGTCAAGAAAAAATGGGGTTATTCGATCGTTTAGCGAACCTTTTAGGTCTTAGGAAAAAAGAAGTAAACGTTTTAGTAGTGGGCCTTAACAACAGTGGTAAGTCAACGGTCATAAATAATTTCAAACGCGAGGATGACCGTTGCATAAACATAGTGCCCACTGTCGGGTTTAATGTCGAAAAATTCGCATGTAAGTTAAATAGCGAAAAGCGACAAAGTGTCAAAAATGTGAGATTCTGTTGCTTTCAACGCTATCTTCACGCGTCCACTATTGCACCTGCACAATCTTAAAATCACAGCATTGTCCACTTATTTTACAATAAGATATAGAATGGAGGATGACGCTATATAAAATTGTTAATAAAATATATAAATATTTATGAAATGCATATTTGAGATGTATAGAAATTATATTAATTTTTTTTTCTAATTGACATACTTCGATATTTTTAACATATTTAATATATTTATATATCTTAAATAATTATTTTATTTTTTAAACGTATATATTTATTTTTATTTTTTATACTTCTAGTACGGCCTTGAATATGTGTGCCTTCAAAACCTTTGATGATCAAGACTTCACACTACTTCGTAATAATCGATCAATCTTTTCTGGCGTCTTTTTTGGAGTCTTCTTTTCTGGAGTCTTCTTTTCTGGAATCTTCTTTTTTGGAGTCTTCTTATTTCCTAATTCATCACTATCTTTGGAGTAATCTAATAAGGAATCCAATCTATTTGCTGTTTTCTTTGTCGTATCAATACGTGTAATATCATTAATCTCCAGAGTGGATGACAAGGGTACATTTCTGATTTTAGGATGTAGTGGTGTACTAGTGATTAATTCGGGGATCTTTGACCGTTTGTCTGGTTTATTACCCAGTTTTGATTCAGACGAAAATATTTGATTTGCATTAGAAGTCGTAGCCGCTTGAGTTTGGAAATTTAATTTCGTCTGTTTCAATTTAATCTTAGATTTGTGGAATGGCGTTATTTCTATTGGATTTTTATTAATTTTCTTTTGTTTTAAGACAGAAGTAGCCTTCTCTGCTTTCTTTTTCTTTATCAAAACTCGCTGTGGACTTTTGATGCGCCTTTTTTTTGCATTTGGATGATTAGTTTCTTGATTAGCTTCTGAACTATCTTCTATAGTATTTTCAGTAGTAGTTTTTCGCCTTATTCTTTCACTCCACTTTTTCTTCAATTCACGTTTCCTCCGCGATTTTCTCAATGATCTCGTCCGTTCTGATTGTAGCTGAACTATGAAGTTTTCATCAGAGCTGCTAGTATCCTAAAAATAAAATTGTTAAAATACTTCTTAATCATGAACCAAAATCGTTTAAATACTTTTATATCTAAATGCCATACATTCAGTTCTAATAGACTTTCAGTGTCGTCTTCCTGCATCCATGTAAATGTAGAATTATCCTCTGATAGAATCTCATCAAAAGCAGTTTGTAGGTCTAACATTTTAAATTTCTTAAAATATGTCTTTAATCTCTGTTTGATATCATCGTTTAATTTGTTTCCATTTGTTGTATCAACCTGAACTTTATAAGGTCTTGCAGTGTCTTGATGATACAGCAAATGTATTATTAAGTTCATATAGCTGTTATTTTCACTATTGTGTACACCATACAATTCCAAGCTGACTTGCTTAAATCCCATATCAGATTGCAAAGTACAATGCTTCATACTTGACATATATTCCTAAAAAAAAAAAACATTTACTTGTATTATAGCTCAAAAATAATTTATTCTACATATATATAATCATTTTCATAAAGTAAAAATATACCTTTAGTGATAGGAATTGCTCTTGCCGTGCAGTATAACAATCAACATTATGCTTACAGTTCTTTATAAAGGTACTTAATTTTTTTAATTTGTCAATAGGCGTTTTAGATAATATATTATTTATGTTAATTGACACTGGCATTACCCATTTTCCCAGTTCAGTCTTTCCATCCTTAACAAAAATCTGTACTGCTTGAGTATTGTCTGTCTGCTTTTCGTTTGTTGATGTAAAATTAAATACAGATTCATTCTTCTGAAATTTAACGCAACGAAAACCAGCAAATCTATACAGATCGTTCTTCAGAGTAACCTTGACATTCAATATTTTACTAAATGTCAAGGAAGTCTCCAAGGGTCTCTTGGTCAAATGATTCTCTATTTCTTTAAAGCGCGTTTGCAGATTCCGTTCATGCTGCTTGATGATGTTTCTTAGTTCCTTTATTTCTTGGCGTAGTTTCGTCTTTTCTGTAGCTGTCGCATCTAAAAGTCAGAAATAGGTTAACTTAACTTTCTCGCCGCTTTAATGAGGTTAGGATTTTTGTTTGATAAATAGTTCACGTACCTTTGTTTGCCGACTCGATATTCTCATTGTCGTTATTCGAACCGCTTGTGGAACTTTGCGTTTCCATTTTCGTTTCTAAGAATCGTTATATCATTTTAAACAGAAATATAATCAAACGAATTCGCGCCAAAATTATTCGTAGTTTCAATTAGTTTCACATCTCGAGTGCTTTACTTTCTTCTTTAGATGGCGCGTGTTTCTGCTATTGGTGTGTTCAGCGGACTCAACAGTTGAGTGAGCGCTCGCTGCTTTATTAGTGTATTCTTTCAGATCATCCAATCAACATTTAAGATCTAGAAGAATATATCAATAGTAGCGAGCGCTCACTCAACTGTTAAGTTCTCTGAACGTAATTATTCTTAGGGCGAGTTTCACCAAACTCTAATGTTGATGCAAATTAAAGATGACTTCGATCAAACATCGGTTAATGATTAAAAGATGATTAATTTTTATCCATGTCTATTTTATACAAAATATTACACTCTTATCAATTTCTATGGATTTATTTATAAAATTTAATTTTTTTTTAAAGTTCAATACTTTTTTATTTATTTATACAGACATTAATAAGTTAAAAATCAAGCTAATCAATTCCATAATAAGTATAGATACAAAATTGATGAAGTTTAAATCAATCATGTTTCCAGTATTAAAGTGAAAAAATTTATAAAAAATGAAGTTAAATAGTTTCTTGGTTTCTGATGCCCAATTTCCGTCAATGTAGATTACATTTAATCTCGATTCGACTTACTCTTCATTTTTTTTAAATTCTTAAAACTAAAAAAAAATGAAGCGTTCCAGATAACGTTAGATGAGATATCTAATAGACACAAGTTTTTTAGACACAAGACATCTACTAAAGGCTGATAGAATCAAGATTTAATCAAAGTTAAATTGCTATTAGTGGTGATAGAATCAAGATTTAATCAAAGTTAAATTGCTATTAGTGGAAACAGACTTAACTGATAAGTAAACAACAAGATTTTAATTAAAGTTACTCTGTAAAAACTCTGCTGGGAAAAGAAGATATAA